CATAAATAGCACTTTCCGAACATCACATTGATTATGTCTGAAACTTTCAGGCGTCTCGGCAATTTTCCATATTATACGCCTTCAAAGTTAATGTTAACTTAGATTCCACCCACCAATTTAATGTAGCTCCGCAATTCTATATATATATATATATATATATATATATATATATATATATGTATAAGAGCATTCAAAAGATAGTCTTACACGATATAGTTATAATGGATGACAGTTTCCCAATTCTTGTTTGCTTGTCGTTTATTCGCTGCACAAAATCACATATTATCATTAAGTTCTTTTCCAATAGATTAGTAATATTGAAACTTGGGGTAAGTGACCAAGAAGAGCAATCTAGTTGTCAACTTCCGTTATGATCCATCAAGTCTTTTTCTCCGTCTTCCTAATATTCGGCTGTTGTTGAAAGAATAAAAGTTCGATGAGATTTAGTGACGTCTTCTGTCCACTGCGTTCTCGCGACACTTTCTCTATAAGCACACACGTTTGTTCTTCATAAAGGTTGTTTTTAGGTGTTTCATAGGTTCCGTAACCCACATGATGAATATGATTGTGATGGTGCCTTGCCACCAGCTATAAAAATGTATGTGAAGCGACTATGATCTCTATTGTCGAAAGAGTTGCTATAAAATAGGTATAAACGACTGCGATGCGAAACAGAAACGTGTACAGACGTTTGTACTCCTGGTTAGTTCCTTAATAATTAAGTTTACTAAATAAAGATAATTTTCATTGAATCAACGGATTCGCAGGATTATTAAATTTGATATAAGATAGATTAAAAACGCGCAATTTTCATCTCGTCCTTGCAATAGATTCTGCATGAATACACACACACACACACACACATAGCTGCAACTCTGAAATTTTGAGCGTCTTACTAGAGGAAAATGTGACCTTTGTAAAAAAGAAAGAAAGAAAACAAAAAGAACGATTGTTAGACTTAGTTGCCGAAACGGTTTTTTTAATTTTCACACTTTTCAGATAACTTTATAATACATATAGAAATTTATTATGGCTGTTACTTGTTCAAACAGTTAAATTAGATGGCAGACGGCCAGCAAGCTGTGACAATAAAGTAATTTTTTTCTTCGCTTATTGCAACTTTATTACCCTCAAATCCTTGTGATCATATTAATGTTCCTGTCGACTTAGACTTTCTTTTGACAGGCGGATTTAGGCTGCGTGAAGGTAGCTGACAGATCGTCGCTTATTTCCACTAATAAAATAGAACCGTTTTGCTGTGTCAGATGTATACTTTACATACGCTGTTCTTGTATCGGCGGCTAGATATTAAATGTAGGATATAATATAACATGATTACTAGAGGAGTCCTGTCTCCGGCACTGGGAATGAAACGAGCACTATTACTCAATTCATCTTCGACATGAGAATCGCGTTCGCGAGATGGAGATGGATCACAACAAATTCAGGCAACAAGTCTGTCAGAGTTACAACGAACCGCGGAGAAACCCCTCGGTATAAACAGTACCTCTCGCTCTTATCTATCAATGTGAGGAAACTCACTTAAGGAAAAGTAGATAGGGAGCTTCAGTATCAATCATTTATATTTTTCTTACTATCATTAGTAATGTGCCTCGCGCGGACGCGCATTTGGACGCGACAATTGCACAAGAAGTTAAAACAGTTAGATGTATACTAACGGTTTTGTATAGCCTGACAAATATCTCAGACGTAACTTACTGGCTGCGTCGTCATTGGCACCATTCTAACGGAGAGCATTCGCCTAATAGTAACATGACAACGGATTATCGTACCTAATGATAAACAATATTGAAAGAATGCGAAATTCCTTCACCTCATCCACGAGCAACATTTTTAAATGCAACATGTTGAAACGAACCACGCTAAAATATATCGCAAATTTGATTGCAGTGTTCATCCATTTCCATTTATTCAAACTGCAAAACAATTGCAAATTTAAGAAAAGCACGGAAATTATATCTTTGTAGTTCTTCTTCGAGTTGACATAAGCGTTGAGGCCAAGAAAAGCGTTTGTCCTATGCCTTATTTTTGGGAAATAGGCTAGCCATGAAACAGAAGCCATTTCAGTGGTCCGCCATTTTTGCAAAGGCTAAAACTTTGTCAGTGCTGTTACCCTTGTATCGTCTGTGTTTGTTTGCATACAAACGGCCGAAGTACGCTCGGAGTGCAGGAGTGTTTACAGTTTCTACTTGACAATCCCCCATGCTAGCAGAAATTTTTTAAAAGCACTTCAAAGAATAATCATTTTGACACGCTAAGAACACACCTTCAATTCTTGCTTTTACCTCTGCTTTGCCATGTGAGCCTCTACCTGACCGTGGAAGTAGGTAATAATGCAGTTCACAGACGAATGAGTTTTTACCGCATGTCAGCTTGGAATATTGGCAACTACTAGCATCGAAATAAATGCCGGTGCGTCGTATAGAAAATACAGCTTCAGCAGTGTGACTGGCTGGAGAATCCATGATAATGTAAATAAGACGCCCTTCTGTGCCTTGATAAAATTTCGATATTAAAAATAAACTGAGAACTCAACGTGACGTGAGTAACGACGCTATCGATAAAAGGAGTGCTCAGGGGGGTACCAATTCTATAAACAGTGTCCGGAACCTAAAGACTTCCCTTATCCTGGCCAACCTGCCGAGTTTCATGACGACAATCTGAAAGCCCTTCTCAGGGAAGATAAGCCGACAGACAGCTCGGGAGTTGGCCGACAAGGTAGGCTACAGACACACGATCATCGTTAACCATCTCAAGTCCTTTGAATTTATACAAAAATTTGGAGCTCTCTGAGTTCAGTAGGGAATTACGACTTGACGCTGCATCGCATGGTATCGATCGTCACGCAGTTGCAATGACCAACTTTTGCGTAGAATTATTGTCAATGATGAGGAGTGGTGTTTGCACGTTAACTTTAACCAACGATGGGAATGGGTGGCCTCCGGATCCGGAGCCTAAGCAGGTCTGCATATAGAAAAAGCTATTCTTTGCACCGAGGGCCTGATTTACTAGGAGGCTGTTTGTTACAAACCAAACAGTTGATTGGCATGTCTTTTTGGCCAAATTGTATCGAGTCTGCTGTGGTATTCAAAAGGTAAGACCCAACAAACGAAGTCAGATCATCCTGCTTTAAGGCAACGCGAGGCCATACGCGGCAAACCTAAGCAAGGCTGTCCTTTTGGACCTCTCACGCTTCTTTGCACTTTTCATATTCTCCGAATCTTGAGCCGACAGATGTTTATTTTTTTCGTTCACTGAACAGTCATCTTTGTAGCCTTAGCTTAGTTAGAACACATAGCTGGAAAACCTTTTTTGGAGACGAACTTCTCGGTTTTCACGCGAGACGACGTTCATCATTTGATGACAGATTTGGAAAAAGTCGTGAAAAGTGGCAGTAAGCACATAATACGGTGACTCATTGTCACAAGAATAAAAAATGTGGTATTCTATTCAGTAAAAGAAGCGTATGAATATGGAATAGAATAGTAATGTATTGTAGGACCATTCTAGGCAATATAAAAGCATTAGTCGTAGGTTAGGATAGTATGAATGCGGATAGTGGGATTATGACCATGTCTAATGATGAATTTATTGGACACTGTATAAATGTATTTCGAAGCCAAAGTCCTGATTCGCCTGCGGTGTGGTAAGTGGACAACATTACATTTAAATGACCCCTTTCAACAGCTGTCTCGTTGCGAAGCTGGTAATCCACTGTTTATTTTCGTCAATGATAGTTTTGCTCAACTAATTACCTCTACAATGACAATGATAAATAGGTTATCTCACTGACATTGGCCTTGGACCTAGAGTGTCGTTCTCCTGCTCGATTTTTAAGCGTACTTCCTCGAACCTTATTGGATTTAGTGCTGTAGCTTCAGATTTAGAGCGACCTTTTTGCAAAATTAACTTTTGCTGAATCAGTAGTATTTAAAACAGGCTGCAGGTCGATTTTGCAACTGAGTAATTCTCTTTACATTTGTTATTATAGAAAAGTTAAAAAAGGACTGCATGAGTTAGAAGTTGTCTTCTGCCACTAATCTGCTGGACAGATATCCTGTGGTTCTCCAACGAACCATTGAGTCAGCTTTGGCGATACTACCCCCCCCCCCCCCCGCCGGCATAGTATTGCTCTACGGTTTAACGAAACGTTTGCTCTGGGACAGCACTCGTGTTTAATGGCGCTCGGTTAATACTGCTCACACTTGGTGGCAACAGGACAGACATTTGGATTCAGTTCGAAACGAGTCTCATAAGGTATAATAATTTAAGCTCTCCAGGCAATAAAACATATATATATTTAGTTTATAGTACTTCTGTATATTCTATGAAAGGCCTTTTGTTTCTTGGGAAGCTCGTAAAGTAGGTGCTATGTATGAATTTTGTTATTATCATGACAAACCTATTGCAGAATGAAGTAAACGACAATTCATCAAACTGACCAATCGAACAAACACAGTAAGAGCTTACCCACGAAAAACCGAACAAAAGTTAGACTAGGAAATTGTTTTTACTGGCCAGTCCTTCGCCCGACTATTGCCACTTATTCAGATGAAGTTGAGATATTTTTGCAGAAATTTTCAAAAGTAAGTACCTCTCTGCCCAGCTCACTATCTAAGCATATATCGGTATGAAAACAGCTGACGTAATATGCATTTCTGCTGCGATAGTGTGGTGCCCATTTATACATTGCAATAATATTAAGGCACTTCCGACTTCCGGGTTATTGACTGAGGACATTTTCAATGGGTTTGTTGAAATGGCGTACCAACTAGCAGTATAATAAAAAATGCCATCCAATTAAACTCTATGTAAACCATCTAATTCACTATCTACCAGGATTCGTGTACGTTGCCCTTATGTCTTCTGCACGAGCTTTCAGAGCAGGGCCATTCCAGCTGCGCATTCAACTTATGCAACTTCCGATACCATAAGAGCCTCTGAGTTAGGTCTTAGTGAAAAACAAAGTAGTCTATGTTTCATAGATCTCAACACAAGGGCCAGATATGTGCCGCTACGCTGGAAGTGAAGCAGTATTTTTAAAAATTGATTACTTTTTTCTTCACACAGCTCTGAGATAGCTATCTCACGAGTTGTAGGATACAATAGCTGTTTTTTTTACTAGGTACAAAAAATGCATTGAAAGTTGCTTAGCGGAGTCGCGCTTTCGAACAGTTCAATGTTGTTTAGCTAAATAGTTTCTGACTCTTTTTTTAGAAAGGACAGTTAGTGCCCTTCTGGCTTCGGACTGCAGCGGCTTTACGTGCTTAGAATATTGCCATTGATCGTCTAGGGATAGAAGGAACGTCCACCATCCCTAGAAAAAGAAATTATCCTATGTAACCTAGGAGCGGAAGAGTAGAAGAGCTGACAAGATAATTGCTTTAATACTGGCTCCCATTAATATGCGCTTAATCTCCCAGACAGCCTGGAACTTTTGTTGTCCTGGAAACAAGCCTCTTGTGTGGGTTTTATCTATAAAGTGCACGAATACCTTTCGATACTTAACCAAGCGAATATGATTTTACTTTAGCTAGTGCGAAAATAGAGACGGGTGTTGTTAAAATTTACGAGGTACGAGCTAGAAAGAATCTACAATCGGTGCTATTCTCATATAGTTGCTTGGAAATAATTGATATTATCACATAATAACACTTTTAACAATCAACCTGCTTCTACCCTCCTTTGTGTACACTAAGGTTCGCCAATAGGTCCGTTAACGGCCACGGATTCGTCCTTATTATGTGGCGATAACTGCCGACGTGACGTTTGCCGCAAGCAACGCGGCTTATTTGCATTAGAGTTCAGATGTTTATTTTGGTATGGGTTACGCTAGACTCCACATCTCTCAAAGTACGTTACCTAATTAGAGTATCCGGAATATTACGGTGCTGATTCACGGTCGAACTCTTTGTTTTGGTTCATCTAGCTTGGGCTCCTAAGTCCTACAAATGATCTTCAACAGATTTTGTCCTGAACGGAGCATTGTTTACAGCCGAGGTACCTAAGCACACAATAGGAAAGCAACCATGCATTTTCATATTATTTAGAGTAAAATAGATTGTCGAAAACACTATTGTTATTTTTTCACATTCTTATAGTCACAACAATTTCAATAAACAACTAAAAGGCTATTTTACATAATAAAGGTATATTGGTCTGACTGGATAAAATTAACGATTAACGAGGTTTGCTATGAGGCGGTGAAAAGGCGAGTGGCGCTGCGAGAGATACAGAGCTTTTGCCATTACGGAAGTCCATTGGAGGTTGGCGGGCGTTGTCTTGTCTTACTTCCATTGTAACGCACCATATCGTGTTTATTAATGCTCTGTAGTGACTATAGTACAAGAAGATATAATAACCCAGCTTAGCTAGAAATTATTTTGTAGATTTGTGTTAAGTGTTCTAAGATATTCAAAGCGTTGTCTTATTTGGATTTACAGCACAGCAAACAGAAAGTGTAAAGCTCCGCTCAAATCTAGTAGCAAATCGATTAATTCTGTATTCGCCGTCACCCCTTCGACCTTCATCCATCCCTCAACCAACTTATGCACTTCGTCTAGCCATAACTTCTTGGTAACTTGTCAAGCCAGCTTTTGAAAATGTCTTCGTTTTCCAGCGTGCTGTTATGGATTTTATCAAGCAATGATCGAACAGTAACGCAACCCTTTGCCGCACTGTTAAAATCCTGTTCAACTTCTAATGGAAGGTATATTTGAGCCAATATTTTTCAATATCGACTCCATATCGTACACGGTAGCCTTTTGGCCTTGGTTAAAGAACAGTTATTGCAACAACGAGCACTTCTAACGCAATTACAGCTGTTTTATGCAGCAGAGGAAACAGCTTTGTTTTAAAACGGAAACGGGATATACGTGCAGTCATCTATATTGTAGCCTTACGTTTGACAAACATGGAGCCGTTAGGTTGGAACAGAATCGTTCAAGCTTATATTTAATCATAGGTTTATTGAAATTTTTACTTACTATTCATTGAATATCATATACTTTTCATTTCAACGTGTATATAAGAGGAAAAATACTTTCTATAGTGCAACCTTTTATACGTACCAAGAGGAGGTTTTCTGCAGGCAACCGCAGCGAGGATTTTCGGCTGAATGCAGCTATGTTGGTGTTCTTAAAAGCTATCGATTTCCAGTAAGTGACCACACACCGTCAGGCAACGAGAGTTCCACAGGCAGGATCGACAACGTTGTGGAAGCTAACCTGGACAAAACTCAAGGTTTAGGAGCATTTGAGAGCAAAAAAAAGTCCTTCAGTCGTTACCCAGTACTAATTCCAGTGTCACTGCAGCTCGACTGAGCCATCCGCTATTACGTATAGCATGGCTTTTCTTAAGTGTCACACATACGCCTTTATAATCAATACCTGTCTAATTTGTGCTGTCGTCTATAAACACAATTGTCTCTTATTGAATAACCTAGCTATTACTACATTGTAGATATTTAGGTTCTGTTAGTTCTTACTATCTGTTTCAAGTGAACCCGATTCAGAAACATACCCATTCGTCTTCTTCATGTTCAAAGTCTAATTTCACAGCAGCTCAAAACCGACCGAATTTTAAACAAAAACAAACTGGTCCTCGAGTTTGTTTTTGCATCGCCGAATTTCACTGTTTGTTGTTAATTTTGGACGAATTTATTAGCGAGACAATATGAATCGACGCCTTTCTATAGTAGCAGGACTCATTTAATCGTTTACGTTGTTGTATTGCAAGGAATTTACTGCTCAGACGCATCCTTGGGCAATCAAGGATCAACGACCTGTCTTGCCAGGCGACTTTTAACCAGCGTCGCCCCATGTCCGACCCCCGCACTGTCTCTGCAGGATTGTTCAACGATCTGTCGGTAACGGTTTCGTCAGACTGAACGAAAACGTGGAGACCCAAAAAAGAAAAAACGATTTAGCCACTTTAATTAGAATAGATAAGGAAGTCGGACGACAATAACGACGAGTAGATATATTCTGGGCACAAGTTGGAATTTAATTTCCCTTTTGAATCAGCGTGTTCTCTCGGTCAGGTTCACGGGCTGCGCTGATGGTGCCGGCTGAAGTCGCGTCCACGCGACAGCAGACTTTTGTCGTATAAATCACAGTATTTAACTGACGACAGTTATCTATCGAGGTTATATATATATGCTATCGAAATTATTTTGTTGGCAATAGGTGTTCTAGCTAGAACATGCAGTATACCCCTGACATTGTACATCTCCGAAAATGATAGTAAATGGAAGAGCATTCCAAATCGTGATCTTGGTTCAGATAAAGGTCAGACAAACAGCTGTCGACATTCTCACAAATGGCATATGCATACATACATACATACATACATACAGGAAGTACACAGAGTGTGCTTTAAAAATGTGTACATAGGTGAGTATTATGGTAGGTAAACTAAAATAAAAGCAGAACAATAATAAGGTTTGCGATGTATTAGAAGTTGTTACTCGCTGAGCCATACGAACCATAAAGGGCCACCCGGATATGGTAAGCTTCGTATGTGTCAAACATAGCAGATTCAAATATGACGACTTTGCAGAACCTCTCCCCGTAGGTCACTAGAACGAAATACTGGCCAGATTATGACTCAGTATGTGCCTTTCAATTTGTCCTGCTGGACTGTCGATTCCTTGTGAGACCACAAACGTCGATGAAGTCATCTATTGTGCTGTGTAATGAAATAAGCATTAATAAAACACCACCACCACAACGCACTGGGAACGCCAAAATACCTTTGCGGTTTAGAATCGACATTATTTGAAATCAATTCTAATTCATTTGTGGCAACATGCGGTGAATATAGGCTCAATGTAGGTGCATAGATATCGAGAATACATCTCGTTAGGGGCAACAGGCCATGGCCTGTCTCGGGATTGACCAGTCAATTTTGTCAGAATAAATTGTTTAGAATTTTATATCTAGCAAATGCTAACCATTGTAAAATTCACTGTTGAAGTGTCAATATTTCAGTGCTCATTGTAAAATCACTTGGCTTTATCATTGGTTAGAACCACGGGTGGAATCTGTGTGTGTTCAACATATTTAAATTTCTACTGATTTGTCCTAGAACGTTCCACAGTTGACTTTATCATTCGAACTAACGCTCACCTTCACGCTGACGCGCCTTGTGCTGCACTCGCTTGTAGCTTACTTTTGTCAGAGCTACGAGCACGCGAAAATGTAAAAAATGTTTCATGTGCCATAAAACTTATAAAACAGGAAAGCTTGTTCTATTTTGCAGGGGATATTGATCTTTTTTGCGTTTTTCTTCACTATACGTGTAGAATGCCAAAGAGTTCGAGCCAGCTCGCTCAATATGCGGTGAGTGGCGTTCCGGAGCCTTCAGCGAAGGCCCATCACGGCCTTCGGTCGTTGCGGAATGCAGAAGCATGTCACATCTTCTATTCGACCCTATGACGTTACTGCTTCTTCCATAGCTCGGGTAGCTTTCGCAAGGCGGAACCTTCGATACAACGTTTGGTAAGTGTCGCAGAAACGGCAAGATCACACGGGCAACGCTCATACAATACTGCTATAATCTTCACAAGCTACGTTCATACTTACGGATATTCGCTCGAATTCAATCGGACGAAGAGCGATGTTGTTTCGGCTCGTTAAATCGAGCCCGTTCATTGTTGTTTGTCCGTGCATCTACCAGTCTCAATATATCGCAATACAATGCATCAGTAATGGCAATTCGACTCGTATAGGTACGGCTAACCGAAGCTGAAACGTCAAGAGAAACAGTTTTTTAGCAGGTTTAACAATGTAGACTTTTGCTCTATTGGGACGTGTTGCCTATATAATTTAATGAAGTATACAATATGTATTCAACATGTGACATGTGTTATCATGCCGCTGTCGCAAACGTTCAATAGATTTTCTAGGTATTTTCATTGAGATACTTCGATTGGATTCTTGGATCGATCTCGTATCAGGATATGTACACCACTTGCTGCACGGGCTCGGCGCTGACGAGTCGTCGCACTGGCCAAAGTAAACAACGTATCCCTAGTGATCTACTAGTATCGATGGGGTGCATGCATGCACCAAAATGTTCTAATAAATTAAATGGGTTTAGTCTATTTTTTTATGATTTATCAACATTCTCATGCGATAAATACCTAAGATGGATCGATAGACACGTAGCCCATACAACGTCTTCGAGCCACACATGCGTTCATGCACGAGGATAACATGTTGATCTGTTGAGTACGATCTACTGCTCGATCTTCTACCTAGTATATAGCATAGTTTAAGCGCCGGATCGTGATAAATGAACATTTCTTATGCGAAGTACGCTCGCAATCTGACCTTACTTGTTGACTGGTCCAATAGGCTAAACACACAGTTTCCTTATTTTCTACAGAAGTAAATCATCATCGTTGAAGGTATCTGACGAGCGGCTAATCCCTGCTGTAGATACGAACCAGTTCATGTGCAGGTTGCGCGTCGGAACGTAGCGAGATCACTGATCCAGTACTAAGTGCACAGAGGGATCCTCAGCCTTTTTGGTCCAGTATTGGATTTCGCAGTAAGTGCTGTTATGATTTATGATATCTAGCAAATGGGGGCTCTCCCCCTCTAGAAAGAACCTCTTCTCTGACTTCTTCAGGTTCTGTTTTTCGGCCAAATCATTTGGCATCAGTCTGATCAAATGATTGACCGATAGAGCCAGGCCTAACGAATGGGCCGCATAAAAACCACTAGTTGAATATGAAGCTGGTTGTTCGTACCCTGTCTGCTACGTAAGGACGAAACTTATTATCGAGCAAAATAACCTTGGCACGATCTCGTCAGTAGAGGGCCTTTTTTCTTTAATTGAACTTCTCAGTTTGATTAGATTACATTCACAGCGTTACGTAACAACCATTTCATAAGGATTTACAAGCTCGCCGCAAAGAAGTATTTTACGGAATAGCAAAAATACAAAGGAACCTTTTTATCCGTAAGGATCTTACTTATCTAGATTAGATATAGCCAGGATGTGTCGGGCGTTGATTTAGAGTAAAAGGTTTTCATTAATTTAAGCATCTTCTAATCTAAGCTGAGTGTGTTGGAGTATCGCGCGTCTATCTTTCATCAGTTAATGAGAAATTTACTTTTCTTTATTCTGTATCTCTGCCATAGCGCGACTAATCAACGTGTGTCTGCTGCGTCTGAACGGAACTTTTGTCAAGAAATGTCTAAAGTTGTTCATTTCGAATCGTCTCGAAACGCCCACGCTGCGAAAACATTTTCAAGCAAAGCGCATCTTAATAATTACAATACAAACTAAACTATAGCATACTGTTGCCTAATTGGTATTCGTGTATCTCGACTGATGCCTTTGGGATCCCATGTAAATAGACCCAAATGTCTCAGAATACGCAGAGCTATTATTCCCAAGCAAGAAACGGATCGAATTTTGAAATGACACCTTTTTAAGATCACGACTATAGAAACTTGGGTTGACAATTAGAGTGTACAGATAATAACATTTGTGGGTCATTTAAAGAAAATGTACAGCAACTATAGTACGGTGTTTCACTTTTTGTCGTGGACTAAATTGAATTTGTTTGAAAATTCAACGTAATTAGATTCTAAATAGGTTTTCCTTTTTCCTGCTTCCGTTTTCTAGTCACTCGAATGCCAACCTCATCGTTGAACCGGAGCACATGTGCGTACACATGCGATAAATTCCAAGGGGCTTTATCTAATCCTATGATTCAAGATGCATCAACTTCGAAATGGCTCCCGACCTCTTCACACACCCCAACAACTAAAGCGATGAAGCTTAAGCGACTCAGTATCGAGTAGGCGAGAACAATATTGAGAGAAAATGAATGCGTTGTATGATCACGGTCGATTGTTTAATTTTTGGATCATTCAAAGTGAAAATAAACCTAATTCTGTCGAAGGACAGTTAGTCGTAGACCCCAAAAGCAGGCAGCTTCCAACTGTTTCATCAGTTGGCGGTCCGGACGGCTCGAAATGAACAGCGACGTTGACGAACGATGATGAAGTAGCGGCATCTCTCTGAAAAAAGGAGTGTATGAGCTTCTTTGTCGATAGTTCCAAATAGCACAATATATTCTAGATGCGTCCAAGGTCCCCTTGCGTGCTTCTTTTTGATATCGTACAGCTTTTCAGTCCTACTATGCAATGAGGCCGGACGAGGCAAAGTTCCCACTGGGTCTCACCGTCTAGTTATAGCCGTGCCCCCGTAAAATCTTAATGATGAGTTCCTGTCTTACCGAAGGATTCCCTCCCGATCCATCATGAGTGGATCTCGAATAAAATCATTTTCTGTTCAGGATCGGCTGACCAAACCGTTTCCCCCAAATACCTCCACACTAACCAAGCCTCCGTAGCTACAGTAGCTAATATTCGTAAGACAAGAAAGTGCCTATCGAAGATTTGCTTTATACGCTGTTCCACTTTAATAATAGGATTTATATTTGGGAATCTCTCTCTTCCAGTAGCTATCGTGAGTAGCGCTTGTCAACAGAGCAAACGGGTAGAGAGCAAAACTTCCTTGCAAAGCCGTAAAAGTGAATGTTACGTAAATGTATAGCCATAAGGATGTACAATTTGATATTTAGGTGGAGCAATTTAATTTGCATTTTTATGGCTTGATTCGTGAAAATGTATTGGGTTGCCACTCCAATTTTTAGCATAGTCTTGACGTAGCATACATTTCCAGCTTGGTATACCCAGAGAATAATATGTTATGTTTATTATGTTCCATTGGCCCACTATTGTAGGAAATTTATAATCTCTCTAGACACACCCACGGTTCAGTGCTTTAGCCTATAGTAAAAACACAAAGTGTTCCTGCTTCAGGTCAATTGAGTAGAGAACAAGACAGGTGACAGCCTTATTAGGATAAGTTCAGGGTTATATGATGGACGGGAAACAACATCTCTGCCAAAGTTCGGCGCCTATTTTGACATATGTCTAGCTGGAGTGCGCGGAGTTACATTTATATTTATGAAAAAGTGCTTTAGTTTGCAAAAGTCTATTGTTGTCGATTCGGGGATGATCGATAAGGGATATACTGTACACGTTTGTGTACAGTATATCCCTTATCTTCCAAGTCACGATGTATTTTTATCTAAAAACCAGCTATACGCCAATACAAACCGCTCCACGTAGCGACTGTTGGGCTCACAAATCGTCCGAAATCTTAACTCGGCATAGAAATAGATCCTACCAAGTCGAAATAATATGGAAATGAGTATTGTCATACAAATAGAGGCAGACGGGAGAGTAGCAAACTTAGTGTAGTACCCATTAAATGGAATCATTACCCCAATCCTACACTGCCACGACAAATACTCAGCAGTGACGTTTGGGCTTGGTGAATAATAACTATACATTAATTTCTTAGAAAAACGGATGCCCGACAAATTTTGAGCGCTCTACAAAAAAATAATTACCCAGTTCTAACGAAAGATGCCGGTCTTTAGTAGCAAGTAGCATTATGTGTGTCGAACAGAAACTTGCAGGTCGTTTAAAGCGTCTTACAGTCTTTTCTTAAAGAAAGAAGGTTACACAGAGGAGTATCCCGTCGACCGTCTGTGCCAACATGCTTCTTTGCCAAAAGTTAAAAATATTTTATACCAAAAGTGCTTCTTGTGATCTTTCATTTTCTCTAGATACATATCTATAATCATCGCTCGGAGTCGAACAAACTCAAAACATGCGGCTAGCTACAGCTTCATTGTCACTATGTGTAGATAAATCTTCTCCCCGCTTTTGTCCTTAGGGGGGAGCTATACCAAAAGAAGGTGCTAGAACGGATTTTCACACGGGACACAGTGCTATATGGGGGCACAGGGATATATCGGCCAAAATTTGCGCAGCGCTACGGCCGAAAATAATTGAGGGCAAGTGGATTCGTCAAAGACCCTTCGATTATATAGCCGATACAATTCAGTCATTTTCAAAACAATATCAATTGAATACATCTATGTTTTTAGTTTATATAAATTACACAACGTTAGACTAAATGGGGCGGAGGCGCGGATCTATAGAATAATGATAATCTTGCGTAACAAATGCAATCATTCAACAAAACTTTAAGGAAAACGCTTTTCTTTTTAGAAATGGGTTGTGATTAGAGCCGATAAGGCGTATGAAGCTTTGCTGCGCAGAGCGAGGTCGGTCTTCAAATGGCCGAAGTATTGGTACATTCAAGAGCTGCATTCCCTTCGAAACGAGAAGAAGAACGGTAAGAATGTGCATACTGGTCTTCTCAGCCAACCTGATCAGATTGAAGTCTATATAATTATCGTGGTATCTGTGGAAAATCCCGATTTATGACCATGTTTGATATGGCATATATATCGATAATATTGTTCCATACGACGCGCTACGGAAAAGAGTGGTCAAGAAAAGTAATCACATGCGACATGTTTTTGAGAACAAAAATATGAGATACAAAGAGCGCAAGGTTAATGTGTCTTAGTTCAACCTGGCATGTACTACCTTTATGCTTCTATTAAACTCAGCTTTTCTATCTTTCTATAAAATTAGTGTCAACGTTAAAAATGCAATGGCTTATACAGCCCCCACGGTAGTCACGTAACGTATAACTCGATGTAATGATAAAACGCAACTCCCTTTCAGGATGCTTTGGGATATATATATACATATTTGGGGTAGGAAAAAGTGTGCTAGAAAAACGAGGTTTACTACCAAATAAGAATAAAAGTTAGATAAAACACAAAAAAAGTAACTAGCTGTTCCATATAGAGTTACGTTTGAGAATTTTGTCACATAAAAAAATCCAGTAATGTGAATCGCATTAAATACGAAATAACGTTCTTCTACCAGAACCAAATAGAATAGCCTATAGCTCCATTTTCCCCTAGGCATTTTTTTAATTTCTTATCATACCTTGTAGATTTTCGACCTTTATTCGTGAAGACGTTCTATTTGCTTCGAAATAAATCATTGGGTAAGCAGAACCATTTTGACCATCTTGCGGCGGTCTACATGCAATTTGTATTTACCTTGTTACTTTTCCATCTTATTTTTTTCGCATTGTTTCACTAGACTTTTAGATCAATTTTGACCATGTTCTCTCTATTGTACCAAGCCCATAATACGATAATAACACTTTTTCTTTAGAGATTTTAAGCCTCGTACAAGCAGCGTTCTCTTTGTAAGGTAAGGAATATTTGTTAGTAGAGATACTTCACTCCATGTTGCACGTAACTGGAACGTCTAACCGCAGCCAGCAGTGCACGCTTGCAGTAAGCCAGCGTCTCACCTGCGTACTATCCTAACAGGTAAGAAGGATAATTTCTTTGTATGATGAAATATCTGTGCGCAAGACTATAGCCAGCTATGGCTTCTGGATATTGTCCGTAATGCGAGAAACGAGCCAAAAATGCACGCAATGGTTGCGGCAGCGAAGACGGTGGTTGAAGTGCGGCGCACGTGAACACCTGAAGGAATGAGGGGAGGTTAGCTAGTTGAAGTGAGAACGTTCACCAAACCATCGCTGTTGTTGTCTCAGTCTCCACGGAAAAGAGGGAGGAGCAAAATAACCGCGTCGAAATGGCGGAAACTCAAAGTAAACGCTTCCTCGCCGCATCTGCGCACCCGAGTGGCTTACCGCTGCCAAGACCCTCGGGGACGATCTGTTTTAAACTCCGTTAGCGGACACTCCTCCTCCCTTTCTTGGTTTGCTTACGTCCTCTGTCCGACCTCAACATCACAGATCCGCTCTCACGGCCCCTTACTCCGTACAGCTTCTTCTGCCGTTGCAGCGGTTTGGTATGACAGCCTAATCCATTCATCCATCGAACAGGTATAAAGCGCAGGCTGGAAGGGGGTAAGGTCGGTGACAGTGACGTTAGCAGGAGAATGTAGAAAACTTCGTCTCCTGGAACGAGTGTCGTTGAGTCTGTCGTCTAAGCGCTTGCGTAAAGCCAGGCTCGAAAGATAAATGCAGAAGGATCCGTACGCCATTTCTTCTTAACAGGCAGGTTAGGTCTATCTGTCCTTGAGCCGCTGCTCTTACTACTTACTGCTACTAGGGATAAATAGAAAATGGGAGTGAAATCGTTATGCAGATGCCTTTATATATGCGAAGCAGGACGTTAGGGTCTGTCAAGTGTCTTCATCTCAAACAGATTCATTCTGCTCTCTAAATCTCCTACCTTTTTTAACGGCTAAGATCTACAATGTTGGCTCTTGATGCAGATATAACTGTAGGCGAATATTACGCATATGTTCTAAAAATTTCTAAATAACGTGTGATGCACCTAATGCGTGACACAGAATGGAGTAAAAGCTTCTCGACGACTATTTATGAATATTTATTTTCGATGCGGGGTGATGATTATATTTCGATGCAAAAAGGTAAAAATAAGAGTAAAAAGTAAACGGAGTACTTGCAAGCTGTCAGGTTACATTTTTTTTTTAATCAAATTGTCAAACGACCCTTGTCCCACTCTATCTAAACACTTCTATTGATGACTTATGTTACCCGACACGATATATAGATATATATTGCTTGTAGGTACTTGAGTTTATTTGTTCATTCGAGCACACGCACGCACGCATGCATCTGTGTACTTGAAATGCCATCGTCATTTTTATAAATACTCTTCGAACAATTACATTCGTCAAAGTTAAGGCACGCAGAGAAGTACCCTTTTTCATAGCTTTTTTGTCGTAGCAAAATGTTCAGAAACTATTATTACCATTGACTTTGTCGATTTTCTGCAGGCGCCTCTGTTCAGAGCTCGCTCCGACCCACCTTGGCGGCGGGAACCTTTGTTTTTATTTAGGAGTTTGCTTTGTGACC